TTTTTTTTTTTTTTGCCTTTGGAGTTTTACACCTTTTCGTGTTAGTATCTTTCCTGCTGAGTGCTCTTGAACTACTATTCGTGGCTCAACAATTAAACTCCTGTCTGTGCTTTGCCTTTCTTGCATGGCTTCAGCTCACATACACTTTCTCATACCTTAACAATAGTTTTTTTCAGTAAAACTAAGCCAAGGATGCACATCTGTGCTGCACCACACTGAGCCTTGGATCCCAGCAGAACTGCTGGACAAGGGGTTCAAAAGTGGTGTTGGTAAGCTGAGGCATAGGCGTGTGACAGATGTGTGCCCCACACTTATGGGAGATTCGGATGAAGTAAAATGCCTTAGAAATAAAACCAGACTTCAGGGCTTTTTTGGAGTTAGTTGCTGATTTACTAATAAACTGGAATTAGAAATTCTTTTGCTGTAGGGCTACCCTGTTTCACAGCATTCATTGTCTGAAGGACGTGTATTCAGCATTACTTGCCTTCTGTTTGCCTCTTATTTTCAGAATTCTGCTTTTCTGATGTGCAAAAGATATCTGAGACGTTAGGATAAACCACTGAGTTCTTTTTTATTTGGGGCTGGTATAGTTTGCTAGACCCGACAGACTAATCTTTTGTACTGTGCATCAAGACAGTGTCAGTGTGTCCACTGTCTACCTATTAGAAACAGAAGCAGTGACCCTAACAAATACCAGAATGTGAAATGAATAAAATAAACCTGAAACACGGCCCCTTTATGCTGTTAACAGTCCACTGTTGCCGTTCTTGTTACACAAGTGGTACCTGTTTAGCAGGTGAGTATGTTGGTATTGATCTTCTTGTAGAAGGCTCTGCAATTTAGAACACTTGGGATCTCAATAGTGAAACCTTAAACTCAGTAAAAATAATCTGATGTTCAAAATACTGCTGACCATCGGTAACTAGCTTAGTGTAAATAACTGTTCCACTAGTCTGTTCAAAAGCTACATTGAATCCTTGTCCTTGAAAATTTTGCAGTGTCTAGAAATAAATCTTCATTAATGTAATTCCCACTAGAGCAGCAAATGCTGAGATTGTGGACAGATTGCTGTATGTATTTGGGGCAGCTATTTGCTGGTTTGTCAAGGTGCTATGATGTGAAAAAGCTGGTTGTGTCTCTGACCACTTGGTAGCTAATTACTTCTGCCTAGCTAGTCATACTTTACTGTATAGACATCAGGTGTCAGGTTTTCGTGGCTCATTTTTCAGTCAGATACCATAAAGGTATGGTAACTGACTTGCTAGTTTTACTGTTGTTTATATTAAAAACTGAACCGGGCTGTAGAATCTGGCAGTGGCATAGGAAGGCAGGTATCTACCATCTTGAACATAGTGGCCTTCTCTTACGCTGTGGTAATCAACTCTTTCATAAGCCTGAAAACATTAACACTCACCTTTTGTCTAATAGGTGAAAATTTACTTGAAGAAAGAATTTGAAAAGCATGGAGCAGTGGTAAATGACACGCAGCATGATGCTTTGGTTGAAGACATATTTGATAAAGAAGATGAAGACGGTGATGGGTTTATATCTGCAAGAGAATTCACATACAAGCATGATGAGCTGTAGAAAAGCGTGGCATAATTTTTTTGACACAAATGGCAGTGACTTAGACTGTCTGGTTCTCTTGTCTTAATTTTGTGTTTTGGAGCTGACAGCTGCTTTTGGCAAAGAAACACTCTGTTTATATAAAAGAGAATTTCTGTTCATTGTGTACAAATGTTTTAAACTATTTTAAAGTATGAAAATGTACCTCCTTTTATGCAGCAGACTTGCACATCAGTGTGTTTTAAATTTTGTATTAACTTATTTTTCAGAAATGCAACAAACTTTCCAGTTATCAAACATTGTGAAAATCAAAATCCAGTTCAGTGCCTTTCTGTGATTTGTGTGTTTATCACTTTCAGCGACTTCTTTATGTATAACTTCTAGTCTGTGGCTTAATTACTTGACCTTGCTTCTTGTGTGTCACTGCTTGAAAAGCAGTGTGCTGACCTTGGGGTTTTTTTCTGCAGCTTTTCAGATGTGCTAGAAGGCATCAGCATCTCTTTATACATACAACTGAGAAACTGATACAAAGCTGAATGAGAAGAATGACTGTCCTGTGCTGACTTTGCTCATCTAAAGGGAGAGTGTTACCAAATGTGCCAATAATTGTCTGCATTTTTCTTTCAATTATATGAACAAAGTAGGAGTTAAATGTCAGACTTTCACTTTAAATGTCAACAGCATTCTAGGAAACATATGTAATTTGGAGAAGAGCAAGGTTTGCTGCAGTGCAGAGGTGATGTCCTCCACATATTTCTTTTGAAACTTGGATCTTGCATTCAGAAGAAAGATCATACCTTTCTCCTCTCCAGTTTTGAGGGTGATCTTGAGCGGCCTGAAGAAGAATTTGCTTTGGCCTGCCGCCTTTGCTACTGCCCGAGTTGCAGAACTTCTTTCATCATTGTCCCTTTGCAGTATTTTCACAATTACCACACAAGTGATATGAATTTTAAGTAATGAAGTGACTTTTTTAGAAAAATAGAGGCATAAGGTAAATGTTACGGTGCTGTGTTTTTACAGAGGTGGAGACCATCAGGATTTCAACTCTATTTTGTGTGTGTTTGAACTCTTCCTGGAGAGGAAGAAATGTATAGCAATTGTTCTTGGGCTGTTAAATGAGAGGGCAAGGTATCTCAGGGAAGGAATTAGCCTGTATATAGCACAACTAGCATGGGTCTCTGAACACAGTACTTTACTTGAAAAAAGTTTCTCAAGGCTATGTAGGAACACAATGCAAATCCAGTTGTATGAAATAGAGATTGCTGCATTGCACTAATCCTTGGCTATTGCCAGGTGAGACTACATTCAAGGTTCTCGGTGCTGTAGATGAACTAGATACTTTCCCTGCCATCTAGTGTTGCAGGTATTAGAAAACTGCTTTATTAAACAGAGTGCAGCTGCACATGGACATTACAGATTTCTCTCAATAGCAACTCTTGGGTGGGTGAGTGCAAGTGAAGGTATGCAGTGGTGGGGTTTTTTTGGGTTTTGTTTCTTTTTCCCCCCTAGCATCTGGCATTTTGTGGCCATGTATTTTGTTTTCAGTGACTTTTAGGGTTTTTTTCCGCAATGATGCCATCTAGTTTTCCTGAACCCATTTATACTTTTGCCTCCAGAATGTTCTATGGCAGTGAGTTTCACAGTAGAATAGTGGAGGAAAATACTTCCCTTTGTTTTTAGGCTTGTTGACTGTCCTGATTCTTGTGTTGTGAAGAAATAATGAATAATGATTATCTATTTAGCTCTGCTTACCAGCCATAATCTTGCATGTTGGTATTTTTTTTTCATCATTGCTTGTGAAAATTAGGCTTGCCTGACTTTAGCTCTCCTACAGTTGCTTGCATGTTCTGTGCTGGCGTTCTTGAGTTCCCCTACAGTCGCCAGGGTGCTAGGCGCTTGCAGGCAACTCATCACATTTATATTGTTTGTGTTGTGTTGGGACAGATGCCTTACCGAATAGTTTCCTGTCTTTTTCGACTGCGTGGGGAGCCGTGGCAATTAGCATAGCCTAGGCGGGCTAGTAGGATATGAAGTTGGCCCTTAAGGCAGCCTTGCCTAGGATGTGGGAACTGGCAGGTACCCAGCCAACCAAAGGGGGAATACTGTGTGTGTGCACTGCTGGGAAGAGCAGAACCGAGACCTGCATTGGGTCTTTCAGAGTTTTAGATGATTGCAGTGTTTAGCATGTTCTCCGAACCTCTGGCTGGGGACTGAAAGCGTAAAATCATGAAATAAAACTTGGCCTAGATTACTGACCAAATATATAAAAAGTTAAGCTTAAATAATGAGGTGCGAGTGTATTCCTTCAGTATTCAGTGTTTCTTTTGTATTAAATAGGTCGGAGTCAGTGAATGCTGTGAAATGTACATATGTGTTATCTTCTACCTGAATATTTAAAGCATTTCATAAAAACAACTTTCAGTGAACATGTACTATGGTTAATTTCTTAATGCCAGCACGGTATTAAAGCTGCGGGACCAAGATGCTTTATTTGGTGTTGTGTGTAGGTTTATGCCAGATGAGTGGATGGTTTTCTTAGTGCTTTTGTTGATAGCTGTATTAAATTTCTGAGATGGAACTGAAAAATTTTTCAAAAGTGCAGAATTGGCAGCAGATTTGAGAAGCCACTTCAACTTTATTGCTGTCATTAAAGTTCTTCTGTGAGGATGAAGGGATTTCTTAGGTAGAAATACCACTGCCTGTCTCAACCTCAGTTGCATCTGCTCGTTGATCCGCAGGGCATACTGCTGCTGTGCCAGAGGGAGCCAGCGAGCGACCTGCAGGAGAGCAGAGGCAGGCAGCTGCCTGTCCCCTGAGGCGAGGAGGAATACTAGTATTTCAGCGGCACTCAGTGGCGTTTTGGCTGGCTTAAGTGTGAAGTGCAAGGTGCATTGCCCCTGAAGAAACAAACCCTCGCTGACTGTCTGCAAAATGCAGCACTTTCTCAAGTGGAGAGGGCTCAAAACAGTGTCGTGAGCACGTACCAGATCGTTCCTCCTGCAGCTTATCTTGTTGTTTTGTGGTTACATGGGAAAATACGTACTGATGGTTTTCAGAACTGTAGCCTGTCATTCACAGCCACTACATAGCAATTACAGTGGGAGTTGCTGCCTTCTGTAGGTACAGAAGCAGCCTTCAGAGCTCGCTTTATTTGAAAATTCTTGATGCGCAATGCAATGACACAAAAAAGCTTTTGGCAAAGCTTCAGGAATGATGGTTATAGTCTGAAATGTTTTTTAAAGCTTTCTTATTTGAGATCAACTGACAAGGTAAACAGTGATGAAAATGAAGGAATCTCTTTATTGGGTCTTAAATCTTTGCTTTTCAGTACATTGTGTCCTAGTGCTGCCAGCAACATCCCCTGTATAGAGGTGTTTTGGTGAATACTGTATGTGACAGTCATAAAATTGCAGTGTTTCAGATGACAGACAAGTATCAGCAGGACAGGAAGACCTCATTGCTTTGGGGCATTCTGTGGAGAGGAGCAAAGCTAGGGGAAATGTGGTGAAAGAGAGTGGAATTATGCAGAGCAATGCGAGAAATACAAAAAACTTTGTTTCCTAGATCCTTTGGCATCTGCTTACTTGGCAGAAAGAACATTGGCAGCCACTGATGCAGGTACTGCAAATTATAAGGTTGATTCCTGATCTGACTTTGATTAGAAATGACTGCCTCAGCCAGTTTGTGTATGGATTTTTGACAGAGTTTAAATTCACACTTCTAAGGTCCATTAAAGAATATTCAGAATAGGTATGTTCCCTCTGACTGCTGCTTAAAAATACATCAGCCTCATTATAGAGCTCTTGCCAGAAAAAAAAAAAACAACACCCCACAAAAAACCAAAACCCACCACCCCAAAACCCTTCATATATCTTCAATGCTGAATTGTTTTTGGTAACAGGAAATAAACAAAACCTGCTTCTGTTTCTATAATCCTGGATAATTTAAGTCTCTCTTGAAAGTTAACTGTAATGCTTATATTCTGTGCCCTAGTTTTTTCCTGGTACATATGAAAAACAACTCTGACAAAATAAGGATCTTTCTTCAGCTATCCTGCTTCTGTTTTCATGCTTGTCCTTGATTATGTCAACAGTTTCACACAAGAAATGTAATTGAAAAGCTCAGTAGGAAGCTGTGTATCTATACCATTAGGTAAACAATGAACAAACCCACTTTTAAAATATTAGGGTCTGACTCTGGAAATCTAGCAGAGCCAACTCTTCAGAGCTCCCCAAATCCCAGTTATGTTTTCCTCTAAAAAAATCTGAGGCTGATGCTAACTACCATTAAGAGCTGCTCTTCATATTGGATACAATGTTTCTAATTTCTAGTTTGTGTCATGACCTGCTTAAGAGGATTAAATGACACACATAATTGATTCCTCATCTGGGAGTCAGACTGGAAGCATTAAATCAATCCAGTCCTCTTACATTTTATTGCCAG